GTCACAGAAGGCTAGTATTTTTCAAATATTACCTACATGTTGCTCAAAATGATTTTCTTTTTGACATTTCGATGTTTATCAATACCACTTACCGGATTCTATCGGGCACGTCTACCTTGCTCTTCTTTTTCGCGTGTGCGTGCACGGGGGAGATACTGGGCTCGCTCCCCGAAGTTGGGGGGCTTGACGACCCGGTGCTCGAGCATGACAGACTCCCGGCTCGAGCTCTGACGTCCATCCCCAAAGCATGATTCGTAGAAATCGCCAGACTAGGCCTGGCGTTCCTGTTTCTCCTCTTCTTCTTCTTCCCGACGTCTACTTCCTCGATTCTTCCGAAGATATTGCTGGTGGGAGGCGGCGGCATCCAGTCCAAGTCCTTTTTGAGGTGCCCACGACCGCACTTGCACCCGCACGCTTTGTACGCGAGGTCATACCCCTTTTTCGTCCACAAGTTCTGGTGTCTCTGCCTCTCAGACCACGACCTGGCCCTTCCGCAGGTCTTGAGATAGGCGAGCACCGACTGCTCCCACTGTTCGAAGCACTCTCTGTGCATATACCTCCCGGAGACGCACATTTCGTTGTTGCAGGTCACGCGGACGGTGTCCCGCAGGTCATCCAGTGAGATGATCATGTGGTCGTTGTTGTTCATCTGCTGCTGGGCGCGAAGGCATTCTCCCGAGGGAACGCAGCAGCGTGTTATTCCGGCCTCTTCGAAGCCCTGGACTTGCCCCAGGTGACGACGCGGTGCCATGACCTTCAATTCGCTCGCTGCACGTCTTTGATGCGGCTATGACGGAGGCCTACTAAAGCGTGCTCTCGCCTCACGCACCGGGGAAAGTGTGGAGGGGCCTCGCGCTCGGAAAGCGAAAGGGAGGGGAGGAGTGGGACCGCTTTTCACTTTCGCTGGTACCGCGGCGCAGGCGTCGGTTTCACTCTCTGCCGGCCGTGACCGTCGAGCGTCGGGACGCTGGCCCTTGCAGCGGCGGATGGCGTGCGGCGAAGAGATTTGCCCGCCATCGTGAGTATTGCGCTGCTATTTTTAGATTGTTGAATGAACGCGCGAATACGGCGGATTGCTCTCGTGGTTGTGGCACCGGTGACGGTATGTATGGGTTTATCAACTTTTTGGGACGCCCACGAGGTTCGATTCGAGCCGCGATCATACATGAACACGATGATTGAACAACGAGAGAGTTTTATTAAGAAAATTTAAACGATTCATTGTAACTAGATCAATAAAACATGAAAAGTACCGTCAAAATATATTTGAGGAGATAGTTGAGTTACTTTGACAGTCGATTCCGTAAAACCGATCTATTTATTTGAAAGAAATGAATTATAGTGAGCAATGCATTAAATTTGCTCAGATATGATACTGCATTTGAATTAATATGAAATATCGTTTAATTTCAGGGACTAGTTTTACTTTCTTTAGGATGCAGAAAACAAAAAATAATACACTTTTTATATATCATGTAGTTTCGAAAATTAAATGGTTATGAGAATTGAGAATCGATTATAATGGAATAATAGTTGACAAATCTAAAGAAATGAACTTTGAACGTTCAAACTAGTCTCGGATATACCTACACAGTAGGTTCAATGGACGCCTATTAGAAAACAACTACTCCCCTGGCTAATACCACGAAGGGCGTTGGAGTATATCCGACAGGCGTCAGTGCAGGAATCTTCGCAGAAAATTTCCTGCATATGCAATTGGCAATACAACTGAAAGAGTCGAACTCGATTTTGGAATGGATACACTGTTTAAGTGTATCCAAAAATATCCCAAACATCTTCCATGTTTATCAACAAATTCTATCTCTCTTTCTTCTCCAAAAGGTTTCTTGCTTTATTTCCACTTTTTTCAATTAGATATACAGATATTACAGATAATGGGGGCAGAATAATAACTCACCAAGAATACTTTCGATTCCTCTTGAATCTGCTGCCAGAGTATGATAATTGGTTCACTTGTTCGGAAGGCAAAGAACTTTAAAATTTCAACAACACGTTTCACGAGAAATACAAAAATTTAATTGATTTCAACTGAAAACCCACGAAAAAGCCGAAAATGTTTTTGTCAACCCAAATTCAATGAGTTGAGTCGTAGTTCTTGCCGAAAACTTTATATTGGCCAAACGTGGAGTAGCTTTTCTAGAAGATTGAAAGAACATAAATGTGAGTTCTTGAATGTGAAGACCAATTCCACATTTGCAAACCTACTTTCATCTGAGGGTCATAAGTAGTGCAACCAACACCAGTTGGTAATATTTTTTCAAGGTCAAAACACAAGCACTCCAGAAAATCCTTAAGGCACTTCGAAATCGGTGTCTGTGCGAAAATGGTGATACACATTGGATTTGAATCGCTGGAGATTAAATTCATTTGAAAAAACGTTCTCAGGAAGTTTATTCCACACAAACGCCGTCCTCCAAATGAAAGAGTTCTGAACAGTGATGTTCGAGGTGTACTGAGTTGAACCTCAAAACGATGAGCATCCACAGTCCGTTGCGTATTTTCTTCGATGTTTCAAACTATCAAGATTGCAGATGATGTTTTCGTCTCCAATTGGATAGCTTTTTTCTGGATGGAATCCAGCAGCTTCATGGTATGTTTGGGGGCGGAGCTCCATACATTAGAACAATACTCAAAAAAGTCTGATCTGAGCTTTATAGAGCATCAAAAGTTGTTGAGGTGTATACAGTTTTCTGGTTCGGAACAGTGTTCCAAGGTTTTGAGAAGCAACCTTCGCAATTCCAGCGACATGACTGTGTCAAGACATTTTGGTGTCCATTTTAACTCCCAACAAACTTATCGAAGCAGAAAGTGGAATTGTCTGACCTGACATTATTATGTCCCGTTCGAATAGAAAACCGATGCCTGGGTTTTTGTGGCATTGAATTGAACCTGGTTACTTTCACCCCATTTCGGAATTACTTCCAGGTCCTCATTAAGATATTCAACCTCCTGCTGCCGGTGAAGAAGTGCATCCGCAGACGATGTCCTGGAATCCAAATGGAATGACGAGACATGTGTTATGTTGTCGTCAGCAAAGCAATATATAGAATTGTTACTTTTTTCCAATAAGTCGTTGATATACAATAAAAAAAGAGTTGGAGACAATATAGATTCCTGGGGAACACCAGTGTGAACTCTTGGAAAGTTGAAGTTGTCTATGTGGGGAATACTTTTAGGGATAGTGGGGTGGATTGATGTACAATAATTTTTTGATTTAGAAGAGAATTTTTTCCAGAGTCTCCCACAATTCAGTTGTATTTCATATCTAACGTCTGAGATTATATCTTGCGGGAAACTGATATCAGTTGTCAATTCTAGAGAGGTGTCTTCATTCGCTTCTACATAAAATTTTTCATTTCCGGCAATACCCGAGTGATCTTTGATTGAAATGAAAACAGTGTTAATTTCATTACTGAAGAAGTATTCTAAAGTTTTCATAATTTCAAAAATAAGTGATTTTTTATTGATATGTCTTTTGTGGTTAGTAAGGGAAAGAAAGACAGATTTGGAATCCGATAAAATTACTGAACTAGCTTCGCCATTATGTTTAACCCACCAAAGAGCTGGAAGTATAGCATAAGCCTCTGCTGTGTGAATTGAAGTCTTATTGGGAAGGTGGAATATAGAAATAATATTTTTGTTTTGTTTATAGAATGCACTTTCAGTGCCATGATCACTTTTAGACCCATCACAGTATATTGTGTTGGAAGATTCAAATGTTTCCAGTACCGACTTTGTTAGAGCTTGATTGAGTTGAGAATTCACTGAAAAGTTGGGGAATATGACCGTTGGTTTGAACATCAACATAGGAAATTCCAGCTGAAACTGAAACAATATATTTATCCTCTCTGATATTGCAGCGAAGGCTTCAGCCAAAGGAGATTATTGTGTGATTCCAGTATTGATTAACGAGATTTTCAATTGATATACTGTGAATGGCCCCCGTTAGGTTATTACTACATGATTTGATGTTGACTAATTTCTTGCAGGACAGAAAATGTCTGCGTAGAAGGAGCATTGAGAGTTCATGCATGCGTTCATGCATGCAGTCATTCTTGTAAGGATCACATATTTTCAGTAGAATGTTCAATAGCACTAGTCACAAATCATTATACAATCATCATTATAAAAATCGTGTGATGAAGATAATGCCCTGCTGCCAAATCCAAATCAGTCGGACCATTTTCATGGTCATACGAACTTCCACAAAAATAATTCTACTAGACAAGACTCAAAGTGTGGAGACAACTGTTTTCCTTTCACATCTCTATCTGTATATGTTGAGTAGGAAGGGTGAGTGTAAGCCCACAGCACTTAGACCACATGTGACCCATTTTACATACTCCCGAGGAGTTGTCCTCCTAGGTCATCGTCCATCTTGTCCTTTCCAGGAAGGTGGACGGGTCACTGGGAGAAATCTCCATTATATCGGCAGGTGTAGGCCTAGACTCGCCGAATACACCCTCTCTTCCTCATCCTGCATAAAGGTGTGTCCACTAGCCCCATATTATGAAGGTGTTTTCTTAGTTGACAGTGGCCAGTCCGAAATCCTACTGTTAAGCGTAGATTTTTCCTGGTCATCGCCAGATATTTCTTCGGCGCCAGCTTTCCAGGGTCGCCCAAGGTGATCCTGGCATCCTTCGATTCCATCCCATCTCTTCAAGGATAGAGCATGGGTGTAACGTTTGGCTAGATCTGCAATCGTCGAAGTCATAAGACCGTAGGTGCCACTGGGTCCTAAAATTCTTAGTCCAGCCGCTTCCTTGACTGAAGAGTCGGCAAAGCGATTACCTTTACTACTGTCGTGCTGTTCAACGAACCTCAGGATAATGTTATCTACCGAGGCTTTGGCTAAATCTTGGTGACACTCTAGTACTAGCCTTGAGGTTATACGTTGTCTGTTCAAGGCTAATAGGGCTTGTCTGCTGTCAGTACAGATTGTTATGTTTTTGCCAGAAATTCCTTTCCTCGTTATTTCTTTTGTGGCGATTGAGATTTCAGCCAGTTCTGTTTGGACCATGCTATGCAAAGCATTAGACGGTATTTACGGCCGTGCCCCGCGTTATAAATACTCTGTATACAAAAGGAACGATGCATGGACTCGTTTGTACCGCTTACATTGTTATGCAATACACTTTATTGGTTCGTATATCCTCTAGAACTGGATAAGGCGGTTTTGAATGAGTTGCTCATCTAGTCTTTCTCAGAGGCAAAAAAGATATATCTCACTTCAAGGATGTGGATCTCTATTCAAGCAGGTGGTCTAAAGGACATTTTCTAGTATCATTCGATGAATTCAGTCAATGAAGTCATTTCTAATCTGGGTGGAGGTGAAAAAACGATACGTGTTATATTCGACTTGTCACAAGCTTTCGACTTCTGAGCAAACTGTTTTATATAGGAATTCTGGATTGGTTGAGATCTTATCTATATGAGGGTTAAACTGGAGGCTGGGATCTTCCACTCTCGAACCTGTGTCGTTCCCATCGGTGTTCCCCAGGGTAGTGTCCTAGGACCTATGCTCTTTCTTTTATTCGTACATGACCTCATCAACAGTAATCGTCAAAATTGTACAGTGCAATTTGCCGGCGATTCGTCGTTGTGAGGGATTGTCGTATCAGGCCAATCAAGCAGTTTCTAATATGCAAAAATATTGTTCTCAAAATGGTCTTTTTCTCAACAGCTCAAAAACTAATATAATCGTCCCAGAATCATAAGACTTGAAGAGTGGCAGAAGTCATTCCGAAAACATGTTTGGAAAAAACACCTGGTATATAGATGGAT